GTCCTTGGAGAGGGACATCATGCTTGGGAGGGTGGAGGGACGGCGCAGGAGAGGAAGGCCCTCTATGAGGTGGATTGATTCAGTGACTGGGATAGTTGGAATGGGAGTGTCGGAGACAGTGCGATTGGCACAGGACAGAGCAGAGTTCAGGGCTGTTGTACATAGGGTCGCTATGAGTCGCAGGCGACTCCATGGCACATAATAACAAAGCAGTTAGATTGGTGTTGGGACGAGTAGAAAGAGGTGCGGTAGCGTGGGGACATGTCTAATCTCAGGAGAACTGGTTTGATGTTGCTGGTGCTGTAGACAGGGAGTTTCCCTTTGTGAAGCTGGTGAAGGTCAGGTATGGCCTTCCCCACAGGGCCCTTGAAAATGTGACATGCAGTGAGAGAAGTAAGTCAGGTCTTCAAAGGTCATAGGGCATGTGCTCCCACTTCTCTCAAAGTCCAGAACAGGCACGTCCAGAAACAGGAAGTGCATCAGTGGTTACCAGGAGTAGGGGAAGGGAATGGGTTGACGAGAATGTTCTGGAAGCAGAAGGTGAGGACTGCACAATCCTGTGAAGGTACGAAAGACCTGTGTCTACACATCACACAGCAGTTCCTGTGGTGTGAGAGTCACACCTCAACCAAGCGTTATTAACAAAGTAGGTTCGAGAGGAGCGTAAACGACTACAGGCTGAAAGCCTGGGGTCGAGCCCACCCAGAGGTGCCTCGGGAGAAAGGCCAGGGGATCAGCCTCTGCAAGCTCACAGCCTGAGACTCAGGGGAGCACTCGTACCCTGCACGCTGACCTGGGGGCGCCGAGTGACAAGGTCAACTAGATGATAAACGATGCTCAAGAGAGAGAGGAAAGAGCAGAGACCGGCAGCCCTCCCGCTCTCCCGCAGGACCGTGCCTCACGACGGTGGACGCACGGAGAGCAGGTGACAGTGTCCTCAGACATGTCTGGTAATTGCGGCCCACGTGCATGTGGACACAGGTAACGTAAGCTCTCCACCACGAGGTCAGCCCACTGGGATGTGCGGACCGCCCAGGGTGGGTACAAACCCCATCACCTCTGCGTTAGCGTGAAGAGCCACATCACGGCCACATGCACACAAGGCGGGGTCCCCATGAGCCACGGCACCCAGCTGCTGCTGTGGCCGTGAAGTGGATCCTGACTCCCAGGGGCCCCACACGACAGAGCAGAATAACCCTTAGGGTCTCCCAATCTGTGGTCTTTATGGGAAGGAGCCTGGGTGGCGCAGTTCCTAAGGCTTCGGGCTGCTCTCTAAACGGTTGTCTGTTCACATCTACCAGCTGCCCTTCATGCTCTTCCCGTGAGGACCTGCAGCCTCGGAGACCCAGTGGGGTCGAAGCCAGCCCACAGCAGTGGGGGCAGCCGAGCTGCTCTCCACGCTGCCGCTGGATCTCACCCACCCACCTTCCACTGAACAGCCAAATGCTGCGTTCCCGCACCACCAGGGCTCCGGGGGACCAGGGCCGGCGAGAGCCCGCTTGGACAGCCCTCTCGGTGGTGACACTGCATGTCTCTGGTCCCCGACTCACCGACGCTGGTGGGGAAGAGGTCCTCGTTGTTGATCTGCACCTCGATCCAGTCCATGAGCAGGTCCATGTACTTGGGGGCGGGCAGCGCCGTGGGCTTGCGGAAGTCCCGCTCGTCCTGCCAGCGGTACTCGTACTTGGGGCCGCCCGACATGACCGGGCACGACTGCTCCGTGCAGCCGTCGCTGACCGTGCCGTAGACGAGGTTGACCCGGTTGAAGAAGTCCACCACGTGCACAGCCACCCAGTCGTGCAGGTCTTCGCCTGGGGGCAGCTGCACGGCCAGCCGCAGGTCCAGCCCCGCGTTCAGCGACGCTTGCGCCCTTTTGTGCAGTTCGAAGCGCTGAGTGCCCGGCTCGAACTTGCGCTTGGGCCGGAAAGTCTTATCCTTGTTGAAGACTTGCTTCAGGAAGGGGTTGGACATCGTGGGGCTCAGGGGTCACGTCCCCAGAACAGCTGCAGACAGGGTTCCTCGGTGAGACCTGGAATGACCAACAGTGATGAGCTCTGGGGTGAGGGGCCCTAGACGCACTGCTCTGAGCACACAGTGGACCCGGGACGCTTCCTGGGCTTCTGATTTTAAAGGGGAAGGGAGCTCTGGTGGCCTAGTGGTAAGGAGCTACACTGCAATCCCAAAGGCACTCAGTTCAAATCCACCAGCTGCTCTGTAGGAGAAAGATGGGTAATCTCCTCCCTAGTGACTAAACTGCCTCTGAAAATCCACTGGAGGGTGAGGGTTATGGGTTGGTTCTGACTTGACAATACAAAACAGCCCCAGAGTGTGGGGCAGTGGTGAATTCTCCATTCCAAATGGAGACCCAGGTCCAACTCCTGGCTAACACACCGCACATACACCATCACCCAGGCTCAGGCTTGCACTCTGCTGTGATGCTGAACAAACTTGAGTAGAGCTTCCAGACTGAGGTGGACATGGAAGAAAGGCCTGGTGATCTCCCAAACGTCAGCCAGAACCGATCACAATGTCCGGCCTGAGGAGCGGGGAGGAGAAAAGAGCCCCGACCTCCTCAAGGAAAACCCCACTGGAGACAGTTCCCAACAGAAATCACGAGGACTGCTGAAAACAGCTCTGTACAGGAATCTCTTCTGTGATGTCTGCTATGCAGAGAGGAAATGCTTGCCTCCACCTCTGATTTGTAATGAGGAGCGCTGAGCAGAGCGGCCAGTGTCTGACTGAGTCCAAAGGTTGGTGGTTCAGGCCTGCCCAGCAACTCTGCAGGATAATAAAGACCTGGCCATCTGCTCGTGTTAAGATGAAACCAGAAACCAGCCACTGCCAGGTAGAGCCTGAATGCTGAACCACTGTGCCACCAGGGCGCCTCTAGACAGACTGTGACCTCGGAAACCTGCTCAGCAGGCCTGCGCTTACTGGGGGTGTGAGTCAGAGCTCGTGGACCCCACACTCTCACACCGTCCACTGGAGGTGCATGGCATGAGGTGTTGGACTGCTTACAGAAGGACAGTGACAGTGGCCCTGGTGGTGCAGGGCATCAGGTGCTGGACTGCTTACAGAAGGACAG